CATCTACGACATTCAATCAAAATAAAACAAATTCAAACACCATTAATCTATCTAACAAAACAATTATGTGATGCATTAACATCATTTGTTCAATTACTAAAACAATTTAGTAATCAAAACTGTACAAATATTCAAAAATTTCAACATGATACACAAATTATCATGAATTTAGTCAAAAAAATAAAACAACAATGTAGTTCAGTTTAATATCTTTGTTTTTTTTTTATCTCGAATCGCTTTGTTTTTTTTTCTTTTTGCTTTTGATAACTAGTCAGGTATTGTTAAAATGAATGAATATATATATATATATATATGACATAAGAATGAAATTTTCTCATATTATTAATAAATGACAAATGTTTTATAAACTGATCGTATTTACATTGGACAAATATAAAAAATATAACAATAAAATGAGAAGACGAATGTTTGATCTATTATTAATAATAGCATTACTTTCTTCAACAATCACAATACCATCATAACCAACAATTAATTTTATCCAATCGATATACATACTTATTCGAGTATAAACACCAGTATAATCACGTAAAGCGCATCGATAACCGTATGATATAATACCTGTCAATATCCAACGTTGTTTATGAGTAGAAAAGTACATTATAGGACCACCAGAATCTCCTTGACATGTATCTAGAATAGATTTAATTAAAATAAATTGTTTGTTTGTTTTTTATTTTCACTTACTTTTTCCTCCGCCTTTAACAGCAGCACAAAATTGTAAATGAATATTTTTTATGATATTATTACATTTTGAATCAGTACTATCGATTGCTTCTAATGTAACTTGTCTAAGATTCATAGGAAATAAAAAATCTTCCCATGTTGGAACACCCCAACCAATTGTTATCAATGTTGAATATAATATTGGATATCTTATTCGTTGAGATTTAATTACATTTGGTAAACATATTTTTGCGATGTTAATGTCATCCATTGAAATTGATGCATTTAATTTAAGTATTGCAATATCATTTTCATTACTTGTTAGATTCCATTTTGGATGAATAAAAATTTGTGATACTATTCTTATTTGTCCATTCGAACTCAATAATGAATCAATGCCCATAGCGACGGAATAAGGTAAATATTCTTCGGATATTTTTCTAAAACAATGAGCTGCTGTAAGAATAAAATTTTTCGATAAGATAGTTCCACCACATATATGCATATCATTGGAATTTCGAACTGAAACAGCCCAACCCCAACTACGATAAGCTACTGTCTCACCACCAATAATACCAAAATTAATATCAACATTATTACGTGAACAACCACATAAATCAGTTGATTTGCATTGAAAAATTGTTGCTTGTATTAAATATAAACTGAAGTAGTTATATATAAGAAAGTGTATATATCGACATAGGCCAGTCATGAAATTTTGTCCGTTCTTATGTTGAATATGAACACGATAAAGATATACTGTACTCGAATATATTGTACTTGATGATAAGCAATACTTATTCAGATAGTATCAGTATCACAACGACTCTCTCTTTTTTCTTGTTATTCATGCCCTATGCATGCGTTCTTTTTTTTCAGTTCTTTTCTTACAACAGTTCATTATTCAATGAATAAATTGTATTTTAGACAAACATCTAAAGTTTATATATGATTTTTTATTTATAGAATATAAAAAAATATTATTCTCTCTAAAGTCAATGATTAATTATAGAGGACAAAATTTTTTTCCATTCCAAAGAGCTAATTTAGACATCAGTTCCTGTTTAGCTAGACGAATCAATTAACAACGAAAATAATAAGATTTTATTATCTCTGTGTTTTTTATTATTTGGTCAATTAGACGACAATTATGCAAGAAGGCTATACCTTCGAGGTTATACAAATATATATATAGTCAATATCCAAAAACTGATTGAAAACTATTATTAGTAACTGATGACGGATATATCTTATACAATTGTAATCGTTATAAAACTATTTATTTTGAATATACGAATATTGCACAAGAAATATTAAAATAACAATGATCAGATTTGATATATTATTAATATTTGCATTGTTTTGTTGAATAGTTATCATACCATCATCACCTACAATCGATTGAATCCAATCGATATATACGCTGACTCGTGTATAAACGCCAGCATAGTTTGGTAATGCACATTTGAAACCATATGAAGTTATACCTGCAAGTATCCATATCTGTTCAGACTCTGAATAATACATCAATGGGCCACCAGAATCTCCTTGACATGTATCTATAGATAATAACTATAAGTTATCTCTTTCTTATGATATAAACAAAAGTATTTCTGTACCTTTTCCGCCACCCATAACTCCTGCACAAAATTGAAGATTGACATTTCTTATTAAATTCTTACATATTTTTTCATTATTTTGAACAGTTTTAACTGTCACTTGTCTAAGAAAATTAGATGTATCACCATCATAAGAAGTAAGTCCCCAACCTATGGCTATAACTGGTTTTTTAATAATTGGATATCTAAATTGTTCAGATTTCGATACAAGTGGTAGACAAATTTTAGCAACATTAACATCATGAAAATCAATTGGAATACTAAGATATAGAATAGCAATATCATTTTCTTTTGTTTTTGAATTATAATTAGGATGAATGAAAATCTTCGACGATATAATTATTTTTCCTTCAGAACTATTTAATGAGTCTGTACCGACAACAATTGATGAAAGAGCAGGTGAAAGTATCATATCTGCAACACAATGCGCTGCTGTAAGCACGTAATAACGCGAGAGAATAGTTCCACCACATATATTTCTTCCAAAAAAATCACGCACTGAAACAGCCCATCCCCAACTATGATTAGCAGCTGGTTCACCTCCAACTATTCTTGCATTAATATTCGCATTAAATCGTGAGCAACCACATGAAACAGTAGTATTGCATGAAAACACAGTTGCTTGTACTAAATATTGATTACAATAAATGAATGCAATAAGAAATGTGATTGAAAACGAATGAAGAATCATATTCTTTAATATTCAAAAGTTTTATCTCAAGAGTGTTTTTGTTGTCAGTATACGTTATCTTACAAATGTCGCAAAAAGAATTTCTGTTTCTAATCTACCTATGTATATTATATCAAACAATACACATTTTATTATTTAATATACAAATTTTAGTTGATACATATAATAGTTAATACACAATAAATTTATTTATTGAACTACAAGTTTAAACATATTTCTATACAAACGATAAACGAATTTCATTTCTGAAAATTCGACGATTATTGGAATGTGTTGTAGGTATGCATTAGAATAGTTATAAAATTTTGTACAATTTAATCATCATTTGATTGAACAATCTGAAATTTAACATATTAATAATTCATACAGTTCCGAAAAAACAATATGTCACTTACCATTGTGTGTCAGGTACTTGTTCTACGCTGACACCATTCCGTTTATTTTTCAACACATATGCTGTCGATAAAATAAAGAGCAAAGAATAAAAGAAAACGATGCCATTTGAGTTTGAATTCTCTCTTCTCTTCCTTTTTTTTCTGTCTCTCTCTCTCTCTTTACAAACTGACCTTTTTCTTTGTTCATATATATTCCGATACAATCGATCAATTTACACCAACGATAATAAAAAGAATAGAATCAACTATTCACCTGTATACAATACAAAAGGTCATATATCGATAACCTTTTGTCCATGAATAATGAGATAAAATAAAGTGCATGAGATCTCTCTTTTTTTTTTTAATATATATATATTCAACAATATTAAACAATACAAAAAAAAAGAAATCGTTTCTAATAATTGTCACGAGCCATTTTTTCTAATGTTCGAATACGCGTTCGATATCGAGTTACAAATTCACTTGCAAGATATTTAAAAATTTCTCCTATACCTTTGTTATCTTTCTAAAATAAAACGAGAATTTTACAAAAATCATAAAAACATAATTCAACTTACAGCTGAACATTCAAAAAATCCCATCTTTCGACTAGTAGCCAATTGTTTACCTTCTTGCGTTGAAACTACTCGGTGATTTTCTTTATCTATTTTATTACCAACCAACACACCTAAATAATAAAATAAATCATTGTAAAGAAAAAAAAGTCTTCTTTTTTTTAAATCTGTACCAAATATATTATGATCACCACGTGATTGACTTAATTGTTCTAACCACATAGCACAATTTTTAAATGAACTTCGATTAGTAACATCATATACAATACAATACATATCCATAGTTACCCACTGAAATAGATAGATATATGCAATAAAAATGAGCTATTTGTATAGAAAATACATACGACATCTCTTAAAGCATCAAGATAAACAGAATTGCCAGAACTATCAAATAAGAAAAATTCCTAAAATTATATACATGCATATATTTGTAAAAAGATAATTATTGAAATGAATTATTAACGTACCACAGTATCATCGCTATCTGGTACGCGAATTTGTTTGAGAACAAGATCAGCCAAATTTGTCTAAAGAATTCATAATTTATATTAATATACGCTCATATAGTCAACTTACGCAATTATACGTCTTAGGATATGCTGTAGCTTCGTTACCAGCAACATGACATATTGCAGTTTTACCAACGGTCATATCACCTAAAATATTCATAACAGATCCTTTTATTATTAAAATAAATGTTAACCTACCGACTACAACTAATTTTCCGTGTAGAAGTACCATCTTCAGAATTTTATTACTAGGATAATAATCTTGAAAAGAAGCAAAAGTGAACCATTATGCTATGATGATGGTTAGCAATAACCTTTATTCTGCACATTAAAATCAAAAATGTATTTATCCGTATATTTTCCAAAATAATTCAAATGATATAAATGTTAGTAAATGAATGTTTTCATTTAGATTATAATTAAAAAAGGATTCTAGCGACAATCAGATGAAAGCTGATTGGTTTACAGAATATAGGAATGACTCATTTATATTTGTCAGTCTGTCATAGACATCATTCATTTGACATCTCGTTTTGAAAATGGCTTCCGCTAGTTCGTTTCGTGTCGATCAAAGAGTTACCATTGCTGGTAAAGGTATAGGTACAATTGCATTCGTTGGAAAAACAGAATTTGCTGATGGTAAATAAATATTTTCTTCAAATATTTATATTCATATTCCCTTAGGAGAGTGGATCGGTATTATTCTGGATGAACCAAAAGGAAAAAATAATGGAAGTGTACAAAAGAAAGGTAGTTCTAGTCATTATTTTATATCTATAGTTTTAATAATAATAATTTATTTGAGATGGAAAGACTGTTCAATATTTTTCATGTAATGATAATCATGGACTATATGTTCGGGCTAATCAAATTGAGTCTGTAATAAGTGATGCTCAAACAAATTTATCACGATCAGCTTCCAATCAGTCAGTTAAATCACAAAACAGTACTACAGGAAGTATTCCAATACCTGTAACAACTGGAAATTCCACAAAACCACCTGGTACATCATCAAAAGCAACTGGACTTCGAGCACCAGCATCAAATACACCTGTTCGACCACCACCACCAGCAGGTAGATAATAATTCAAAAGAAAAGAAAAAATAAATAAATAATAAAAAATTTAAATAATTATTTTACAATAAATTAGGATATGATGATGAAATTGATTCATCAGGTAATAAAATTGATAGCTAGTCTTCACTTTATGCATGGTATATTTTTGCTCTACTGACTAGATTATAAAATCTAACTATGACGAAAATTTTTAGAATATAATTCATTTCTATCATATATTTAGTTCGGGTGATGGGTTAATTTAACTTTTTATTTTCTAATTTTCTTTAACATCGAATTTACTTTTTTAAATTTTTTATTCAAGCCGTTGCTCGTTCAGCTAAATCATCAAATGAAATTACTACACCAACAGTAACTGAAAAAGTATCCCCACCGAAAGAACAAATTAAACGACCACCAACACCTACAATACAATCAAAACCATCACCACCTACTGCGGTAAAAAAAGAGATTTCCAACTGTAATGATAAACGATATATAATTTAGCTTCCACCAGAACCGATACTACCAACGGCTCAACAACTTCCAAGTATTCGAAAAACATCAACTACTTCACCAACTGAATCATCTGATTCTTCACAAATAATCACTAGTCTTCAAAGTAAAGTAGTTGATCAAGAAGAACAAATTCAAACATTAGTCAAAAAACGTCGTGATGATCTTGAAAAAATTAAAGAATTTGAACGTACTAAAATTCAACTTGATCAAGTCTATTAATAAAATATTTTTTTTTTTTTTGTATTATCTAATTTGAATTTTTCTATCTAGTTACAATCATATAAACGTGAAGCTCAAGAACGTATTAAAGAATTAAATGATAAATTACAACAACAAGAAAATGAATGTAAAGATACACGAGATAAATTTGCTGCTTATCGTGATGAAATGACAGATACGGAAATACGTATTGAATCACTTGCACTTGATCTTGAAATGGCTGAAGAAAAAGTATTTTTTTGATTTGAATTTAATTGAATTTTATTTTTTTAATTTTACTAGCTTGAAATTGTCACATCAGAAAATACGACATTAAAAGAAAAATTAGAAGAAGTTCAATTAGAATTAGATGTTATTAAAGGTGAAATACAATTGAATGGTAATAATCATGTCGCGAATGGTATACAAAAGAGAATTGATGATGAACGTACCATTAAAATGGAACAAGCATTAATTCAGTAAAAGGAATTTATTGCAATCTAATTAATCGAATAAATAATTATTATTTAGATTACGAGATTTATCAGTATCAAGACAAAAGGATAATGAAATATTAAAAAAACAATGTGAAACATTAGAACATACTGTTAAAGTTTTGACAAAAGAAAATGACAATGCAAAAACAGATATTACAACAATGCAAACAACAATTGCGGATTTAAAAGAACAAGTAGATACATGTTTAGGTGCTCAACAAATGGTTGATATTTTAACAACGAAAAATCTATCACTTGAAGATCAAGTTCGAGAATTACAAGAAACAGTTGATAATCTTGTAAGTGTTTTAGTTATTTTTATTCATACTGAATATTTTATTTCTCTAAGGAATCACTTTGTGAAATGGATAAAGGTAAGAAATGAATGAAATTTCTTTCTCTTAAATATATATATAATTTCTTTAGAAATGGAAGAAAATGCTAAAGAAGTTGAACATGATCTTCGTGAAACTATTGATTTAGTACAAAATCAACTTCGTGAGGTTGGGAAAAATAACTTCCGTCTATTTTTAAATTCGAAAAATTTATAAATCTTTAGAAAGAACGTCAAATTGAACAACTTCATTATACTATTGGTGATCATGAAAGAACCATACTAAAATTTCGTGAGACTCTTAAAAATATGCAAGTAAGTTTGCTTTGTTTTTTCCAAGGGGGTAACAGCGGACTTCAAGACTTCAGGACTTCAAAGACTTCGATAGACTTCAAAAGATTTCGGGAGCCTTCAAAAACGTCGAACGACTTCAAGAGACTTCATGGGACTTCACAAGATTTCAAGAGACTTCATAGACTTCAAAAGACTTCATAAACTTCAGAAGATTTGAGAAAACTTCAGAGACTTCAAGAGATTTGAAAGATTTTAAGAGACTTCACAAGATTTCATAAGACTTCAAGAGACTTCATGAGACTCCATGCATGAAGTCTCTATTGTATACCCCTTGGATCTCCTCGCGAAATACATGCATTCAGAGAAATTCTAAAACACTTCATGAGACTTCACAAGACTTCATGAGATTTCATAACACTTCAAAGACTTCGGAAGACTTCATAAGACTTCATGAGACTTCATGCATGAAGTCTCTGTTGTATACCCCTCGATCCTTCGTCTCCCCGTGAAATAAATGCATCGATAGAAATTCAGAAGCTTTCATGAGACACCAGGCATGAAGTCTCTGTTGTTTACCCCTTGGTTTTTTCTCTATTCATGATTTTATAAAACTTTGTTGTTAGTCTGAAAAAGAAGATATTAAAAAACAAATCGAAAAATATGACGCACAACTTAAATTAGCTAGCTCAGCTCAATCAAGTGATTTTAAAACAAAAATTGTTGAAATAAAAACTTATGGAGAAATCATTGAGGGTGAAGTAAAAAAAATTGATGTGCACAATTTATCACGACATGTTCAGTATTTAACATTATTTCTTCCGGAACAATTTACAAGACGTGGAGCTGATCATGATTGTGTACTTGTTTATTTACTTATACAACGATTAATTTCGAAAAGTGATTTATTAATAAATGAAATTCAAAAAAAAACGGAACGAATTGATCAATTAAATTTCGATGATGTTATTAAATCACATCGAGCAGAACAGTGGAGTTTTACTTGTAAAATATCACAACTATTAGCAATTTTTCGAATGATTCTTAGAAAATATATCAAGTAAATTTTAATTTTAATAAAATTTATTATTTCAAAATTTTTGCTTTTCTAGAGCTTTAGAAATATGTAATCCAGATATACTTCGTCATTTAGCAACTGTTTATCATGATTTATTATCACATGAAAAATCACTTGATTTTCTTATTGATCTCTTACAAAAAGATCAATTACATGATTCAATATCATTAAATGCATTGGATAAAACAATCACATTCTATGACGTATTACCAGAAAAATTAATCTTTTTTTTCTAAATGAATTTTTTTCGTTTTTTAGCATATTTATAAGAGTCATTTACATCAAGAGAAATTTTCGATGATATATTATCTGAGAGATTTAATACGAGTTGTTTTGCTAAGTAGTGATGCACTTCAAACTGATATTCAACGTGTACAACTTTTACAAAAGGTAAAATAAGAATATATTTTTATAATAATAGTAAAAATAATATGAATTTTTATATAACATAGGAACATGGACAGGTAAAAATTTCTAAATGCATGAGAGAAATTTATTTTTTAAGCGAGATTTTCTGTATAAAAGTTGTATTGTGATGTTTCTGTACATTAGTTTGTGGAAATCTCAGATTAAGTCCTTATATTTTGATTTGTATTTGAGATCCTGAACATAGTAGATAGTTTTCAACTAAATGAGAATCTTATAGAGAGTGACTTGTAAGTCATACAGAATTCTATGCTTTACATATGCGTACTTTCCTAAAGCTTTTTCACAATATTTTGAAAAGAAAATTAAGTTTTTTATGCACGTTTTATAAATAGCTTATGTAATAACAGTTTTAAAAAATATGTTAAGTCTTGCTTTTTCTTAATTTATCATTCAGATGTTCATTAGAATTACAAATCAAGACTATTTCTATTGGGAAGATTTACAAAAGACTTAAACCTTCGCCTGTTTAATGCTTATATGAAATCTATTTTAAAGTATCATCGATCATGAATAATCTCTTTTTTCTATTTCAGGCTGGTAGTGATCAAAGTCCATTTGCTGCACTTGTTAAACGTCTCGTTGAAAGTAATGAACAAATGCGAGCTCAAGCAGGCAAAGTAATGAAATATTTTGGAATAATTAATTCTAATCTTTGATTTCTTTAAATAAATAAAGATCAATCGTCTTGTACCACAAGAAGATAATACAAATCATTCATTAATTCTTGACACTAAAACGATATCTTCCATTGAATCAACTATTCGAAATTTAGATCGTTTAACAAAAACATTTCATGAAATATGTTCAGGTTTAACAACTCAAATTCTTATACTTTCTGGTAACTTCTATTTCAATAAAAAACAAAAAATTATATTTTTCGTTATCCTTCAGATCCCAACGATCGTGTAAGTACACAGGATATTGAAAATATTGCATATCAAGCATGTGATAAAATTTATAAAAAAGAAGATAGTGGTCCATATGATAGTTTATGGTAAATAACAAAAAAACGAAATTTCGTTAATCGATTTATTTTTCTATAGGAATTCTATGTATGAAACTCTTTCAACATTAATCAATGTTAGTAATGCACTTGAAAATGGTTCATTTGATTCAAATACGAATGACCAGAATGAAAAAGTACATGAAAAAAACAATTTTTTGAATTTATTAATTCATGTTTTGTTTAGCCCAAACAACCAATTTATGTAATTGCTGAACAATTGAAAACTTCAATGAATGAATCAGATTCAATACGTGGTCGACTGGAATTAAAAGATGAAGAATTAATTGATTTGAAAAAAATGCTTAAATCAAAACATGATGAATTAAGTGAATTAAATATACGTTTAGCATTGAATGAGAAGAAAATTGACAATTTACAAAAAGAATCCGATGAAAAAACGAATAAACATCAACAAGTTTTAGAAGAAACACGAATTGATGCACAGAAAAAAATAAAGTATAGACAATTATTAATATAGAATAAAATATATAGTATATTTTTATCATATATAGACAATGTGAAGAAGCTATGGGTGTATTACAAAATGATAATGAACAACTTGAACAAGAAAAAAGTGCACTAAAAGAGCGTTTGAAACAATTAACCAAAACGAAACTTGTTGATGATATTATGCAGAAAAAAGGTGGGGTTACACAAAAAACATCTGGACTTTTAAGTAATAAATTCAAGATTATTGTCTATCTTTAATAAACTATTTGTTCTTTATTCAGGTCCTACAAGTGATGGTGGAATAAGTTTACTACAACGACAATTATCATCGTCATATAACAGTGAAGGAATGACCGGATCCACAGTGAATGAACAAGAAGTATGAATCTATATATGCAATTTATATAATTTCTTATATATGTATTTATCTTCTAGGTCGCAGTATTACGAAATACAGTTCATTTATTAAAAGATGAATTATGGCAATTAAAAATGACACGTACATCAAGCGAATTATCTAAACTTCCAATGCCACAAAAAGATACCAAAACAACTGAAATAGCTGATATATATAAAAGTTCAACATTACTTTTAAATGTATGTTTAATGAATAAAACTCTTCTTAAAAACAAAAATCTATTTAGGATCTTTTTTCAACTATTGCTAATTATAAAATAACTGGAGAGAATGTTGCAGTTAAACAAGAATTAATGCGTTCAAAAATGAAATTAGTTGATCAAACAGCATTTAATGTATATAAGAATCCGTCTTGTTTATTTTATTGAATATAATTTATTTTTAGCTTAATACTCGTCTTAATGAATGTCAAAGTACTATTCTTCCTGGTTCAACTATTCAAACAACAATGAAAACATTTTCAAATCCACAATTTTCTAAGGTTTCTATTTTGATAAAATTCATTTCTTTATTTATTGATTTTATTTTTAGTCCCTTACTCAAGATCGTCAATTAGCAGCAGAAATTCATTTACCTGGTGTTAATACTGGTGGAGAATTTGATATAACTCAAGAACAATATCGTACTATAATGCGTGAAGCTATTGGATGTGTTTGAATCTATTAGTATGAATTAACAATTTTTTTTTGTTTTCTTTTTTAATATTAAATAATTATATATATTATTTGAACGGCAAAATTGTAGAAAATTTTTTAAAGAAAGTTTTATGTCAATATTTATTTTTTCTTCTTTCCCTTCTTTTTTCCTTTCTTCTTTTTCTTTTTTGGTTCAGTAAATTTCAGAACAAAATCTACAAAATAAAATTATAATAATCAAAAAAAGTAATATGAAATTTTTTACCAGTATAATTAAATAAACCAAGATCATCAGGTTTAAGATTATCTTTAAATGCTTTTGCTTCAGCTTCATCTAACATTTCTCCAACATTTGTTAAACATTTTAATATTTCATCAGCTTCTAAAACACCACGTTTCTCTAAATCAAATACTTGAAATGCTGGTATGATTTCTTTGTCAGTTATTGTTGTTGGAATACTTAATATAGATGCAACAAATTCAGGAAATTTTAATCTATCCGTTCCTAGATGAATTCATAAATATCATATATATGGAAAAATGAAAAATTAGTTTTACTCTCTGGATCATATTCTTTTCCTACACGTTGAAGATCACTATCACGTGGATTAAAACCCAATGTACGAAGAATAAGTCCAAGATTACTTGCTTTAATAAATCCTTGATTATCTCCATCGTATGTATCGAATATTTCTTTCATTCCTAAATAATTAATTTATTTAATGATATAAGTAAGAGAATGTTTCATTGTTGACATTTTCAATTTATTTCCTTTTTAAAAACATTCATCGAGAAAAATGTCTGATACTTTTGTTATTTATAAGTACTCAATTTCCATAGACCGGAATAGAGTAAAAGCTCTTATCTTTACTAAATAGCTACGATAAAATTCTAATTATATTTTAGATGGAGTATGCATAATATCTGGTATTATTACCTATGATATCTTCTTTGGATAATACACCATTCTATTATAAATAAATTTTATGTTTCATTAAATAATAATTGTTCACTTACATATTGACCTACAACTTTTCTCATCATTTCAGCTTCAGCTTTTTTTTGTTTATCCGTTTTAGCCGGTTTTTTAGGGGCTTTTCCTTTTTCTTTTGGCTAATAAAACAAATCTATGATACATAATTAATTAGTCTAATTTTCTTACCATTTTTTCTTAGAACAATGTTCGTTTCTTTTTGGTATAAAATTCAAGGATTATATCTGAAAAAAAGAAAGATTATATGTTACAAATTCTCGACATACACGTGTTTTTAATCTCTTTTTCCTTTTAACTATCATAAATCAGAAGAGTTTTTTTTCTTCTCTCTTCACTCCTTTCTTTTTCTTTTTGTGTTGTTTGGATGAATGTTGATTTTTTGGCAGAAAAAGAAAGTTGTTATGAGTTGCTAAGAATATTTGAGCAAATTAGACGCTAAGGGTGTGTATAAACTGCAGAAGAACTGAGAGAGAAAGAAAAAAGTATGTGTAATGTCAATTTGCGATGGTTTAAATATTCTCGCAGATTTTTAATGATGAATAATGTATGCTATTTGATTCTTCCTGAAGATAAGAAAAGTAATTTGAACTACAAAAAAAATAGAAGGCAGTCGTTTAATGTAAATATGCTTATGTTGCTTTAACAACGGCATAAAAGAAGACAAACACTTTTTTTTCTATAAATGTGAAAAGTAATTATATGAAGCCTTTAAATTCCTATAAATAAATGTATTTATATAAAAAGAACGTACGATTTATAATATTCAATACTTATTAAATTTAACGACGATATAGAATTTGCTAATCATCTTGCTCAATTTACAGAGTAAGAAGAAAATGTTTTTGGAATACTATCAACAACAGGCCATGTAACCAATTTCCAAATTCACTATGACAAATAAATAAACATTCGTGAAACTCAAAGACAAAGAAATAATTATAGTAAAATGCATTTTTCATTTTTGACACATATAATCTATTTGAAAAGCAATATTATATAATTGCTTTTGTCATGATTGTAATGCACTATTACTCATCTAGAAAACACTACCGGAAAAACATGTTTTTTACTAATAAGATTCATTGATACAATCAATAGTCGTTTTTTCTCTTTATCAGTAGTACTTTTTGTTCTTGTTAAAATATATAATTCATTAATATTTGGATCTATATCAATACTTAAAATTTCTTCTAAGAATTGATTACGAAACCAATTTATTAGTTAACAATCTCCATCTAAAGGGAAAATATGTAAACAGTTATTTTTATCATAGGTAACACATGATATTAAATTATAGTTTTGACTAAGATTACAGGGTGTGGGTGTGGGTGTATGTATTCTGCTCATGTTGAAAGAAAACTCCTCGGCTTTTAACGGTTAATCTGTATTTATTTTTTAAATCATTATTTATGATAAATAACAATCATTTATTTATATTTAGAAAAAATTAGTTCGATTAACTTTATAAGAAATGTGATCAAAAGATCGAATCAATTATGAAATGAAACTGTTGGTTGGTACAGATCCAGAGGGTGCATTATGATATGAATAGAGCAAATGACTATAATATTATACGAATGATAATTATAACGATATGTTTTTGAAATTAAATTCTCACATAAGTAGAGACATTTTAATATTGTACAATGGTAAAACTATTAAATACAGTAAAAGACTGATTCATTCTAAAGCGAAAACAAACATAAATAATGAAACAGTTTTATACCGCTAACTAACCTATTCTAGGATTTATTTATATTGTCAGTTATTGTTTCAGCACAGTATCTTATGTTCAAGATTCTTTTCATTTATAATTAAAATACATGTTTAACTGACTTTGAACATCAAATGCTATGTATTCATTTCTTTTCTTCAAGTTATTTTCTTCAAGAAAACTATCAAAAAAATGTTTGATTTATTCAGGTATCGATTTTTATTGAGCTTTTCTGATGGTCATTGAATTTGTCCAAGAAAATATAATAATTAAGTCATGTTTGTGCTTGTTACAAGGGCTTCATTTCACATCAATTACAGGTATAGAACTATAAAAGAAGTTTCAAAATCTTTCGAACAAAATTAATTGATCCAATGCATATTACAATAAGGTCAACAAGTTTAATCCAACAATAAACTGGTATATCTATCAATCAATTAATTAAACTGTTATTGCGACTTTGACGTTGGTTACATTATTTTATAACTATAATACAGCTTAATTTTGTTGCAAGATGTAGTGAAACATCTTACTTCTTGTCTGATTATTCTTATTTCATTAGGAAAATTCAATTACTTAAAATAACTCATTGAATATATTTCAGTCCAATGCAAAACTATTTATATTTCCAAATGTCATAGATAATTAGCTACATATGAAATGATTTTTGTGGCTATTTTTCTTAAAACTTCATTTATCGTATTCCGCTTCCTCGTCAGATATGTGTGTTAGTTTATACAACTATTCTAAAATATCACACTTTCAGTAAATTCTACAGAATTCTCGATTGTTGTAAGCATCAACTGCAACTACCGATGTTATTCCAATATTGTTCATAGCTTGAACACTATTCGTTTCTTCAAGTAATATCTTTCAGATTCACAGCTGCTATTCCAGCAATCCCAAAAGTTAGTTTAAGCCTATATAACTCATAAAAATCTTTCATGTTGACCTTTAATGTTCCATTTAGTAAGCAAAGTACATTTTCTATTAATTTGCAGAAATTTACTAACTAGTTAGTTTCTTAAATACTCTCTCATTGTTCTATTGCATAGTGTCAAATTTTATTTTGTTTGAAAAAAAAAACAAGTTGCCATGGTGAACGTACATAATATATGTAATACGGGAATAACTACGCGTTAGCCAATATAATCACCGTTCGACCAAATTCCATCGTGTACTTGACCACTACCATAAAATAGTTTACCTCTTCCATCCATTTGGTCATCCTTCCATTGCCCCAAGCGCTATTCACTGATCACATGAACTTTGTCACTCACTTCATTGAGTAACACAGTAAATGATGCAGTGCCATTGAAGAACACCTCTTCTCGTATCGTGCACCACTAGATAATGTGAAAGTTCCTTGACCAGTCCTCTTGTCATGCACCCAATCACC